CCCGGGTGTATCTTTTATCGTACACCCCGGGGGTGTACGAATTTGCCGTACACCCGGGGTGTACGTTAAGGAGGCCCCACAAAATATACATCCATACAATTACTAATAAATCCTTGCAATTACTGTAATATGAAGAATTTGAGTAATGAAATAAATTACGTAAGTTAGCAACTCCTAAAAAGGCACTACTGTCGCCTCTCCGAGTTATTATTATACGCTCTCCCACATTAAATTGGTTTCACTCTTTTGTGTAAAAATATACTTATACTTTGAAAAGGGCTTAAGCAAAGGCATTACCGACGAATAATGCGTACATGCCTACCCTGACTATGTAGTACAATTATTACCATTCTTATTATGCACTTTACAAAATCACCGGTGTTTTTAAACTTTTTATTTTGGGCTAGTAAATATTACGAGTCTATGAAAGCTAAATTAGTTCTTTTGATTCAGAGCGCAGGAAATGTGTCAAGATAACCACACAATAAGTATCGATCTCTCTCTTTTCAATCGAATATACTAAAGTCTCTGCCCCCAGCTTTTAGCACATCCTTTGTTTTTCTCTTTTCTCTTCCTTTCTCTTGGTTTCGTTTGGGTATCGACTTTTTCTTCTTCGACCGGCGAATGGACATGGCAACTCGCTCTTTGATATCTGCCTCGGACAGTCGGGTGGATGCAGACGTGGACGTAGAAGTCGTGACTGTACGCGTTTTTGGGGGTTTCTTGTCGCGATGTGCCATAAAATCACGATTGTTTAATTGTTCGAGGTCAGATTCTGGGTCTTCCTCTGTTTCGGATATAGTACCTTGTATAACATTTTGTATCACTGATTCACTTGCAATGTTCGCATTATCAGATATTTCGTCACCGCCTAATATATCCTCGCCTTTAACACTTTCTCTAGCATTATTTTCCATCCCTTCTTTGGCATCTTCGTTCTCATCCCTATCATAAGCCTCTTCAGCCTTGTCGTCCTCGTCCTCGTCGTCGTCGTCGTCATCCTCATCATCCTCATCCTCCTCATCTTCATCCTCATCCTCATCAACGTCTTCTCCACCGTCTTCATCTCCTGCATTATCTCCCTCACTGACGCTTATCTTAGCTTGGTACTATACATACACTGGATTAGCTCAATAGCGTGGAAATCGCGTTTGCCATTGTAATCGTTCATATTAACTCACCCCTTCGAGCTCCTCTTGCTGTTGTTTTGTAAATCCACTGGCAGCAACCTGAACGTCCAGATTAAACTCTCGGTTGACATCAAGGTTGAATTTAGGATATAATACGCTCTCGTAACCATATTTTTTTCGAAAGAAGGTACGTATGCATTCTATGTCTCGGTTAAAATACCTACAGTAGCAGGCGTACAAGCAAGTTTAGTAACGGCTTATTTGTGAATAACGACGGCAACAACAATAGTACTCCTAGTTTTTATTCCACCACCATTCGCCCGTGTTCTCATGAACGTACCATTCGGCGTTCGGATGCGATATCGAGACCATTTGAGGAAAGTCGATTAACACTGGCTCCCCGTTCTCTTTCAGCAGTATATTGAATTCGTTAAAGTCTCCATGGATGAGTCCATAAGTAGCTAGTCTCACTATCAAGTCCATAAGTTCTGAATACAATTTTCCTGGGTTTTTAACTTCGATTACTTCCCGCCTGAAGAATTGGAAGGGGAAAAAAAAAAGAACAGTGTAAACCACATAATATTTCCCTTTGAATATTATTCCCCAAAAGAATTATGGGTATTCTTACAATGGAAATGCATCAATTAATTCCATTAAAACACAATGCCTAGACTGATCTATAGGTTTTGGAACCGGAAATCCATGTTCGTGTAAAATCTATAATAAAAAAAAACTTATTAATATTGTATAATTATTGAACGTTTTAACGATCAAGAAACCTTACCTTCATAAAAGCGTATTCTTTCATAGCGGCCAAGCGAGACATATATAACCACGATGCAGTTTTACGATTTTGAAGATAATCACGCTGTGCCTTTATTGCGCGAAATGACACACGGCCAAGTCTAAGATACGTATAGATTTATATATGTACTGCATGTCTACTATGAAAGCATATAACATAACGACTTAATCACGTGAACTTACCTGTGAATTTTGAGGACATTCTGGTTTTCTTCTTCATCGGCAACAAGGTATACATCTTCGAAAAAAAGCAAGTTATTTCCTGAAAACCGCAGGATCATGTTTTTAATTACAATAAATTCTCACCTGATTCTTTGCCGACACCGATCTGCTTCCCAATCGAGTATATGCTCTCACGTCTAGAAAATGTCTTTAGCGCAAGGTAATCATATCCTCCGTATGTCAATCTATATCCATCATCTAATCAAATCGCAAATTAAAAAACAAAACGTGTAAAAAAACCATTGAATCATGGAATAAAACCCAAATTGGTTGACAGATTTTCTACGTTTAACAAACAAAACTACATAACATACACATTGAATTCTTAACCTTAGCAACAAGTTTCTTTTTGCCAGTTCTCCTAATATTTTATTAACACCGCCGTGTCGTAACCCGGCAATTTGCGAAATTAGAGAGGTGGGCACAATTACGTGATTCTTGGAGCCCATTTCGACCTAAAGAGGTCTAGAGATATTGAAGTTTACTTTCGCGGTTGATAATGCGAGATACGCGAGAATGGCAGTAAAAGTTATGAATGAGAGAGACTTACCGCTGTTAAGACTCGGAACTCTTCGGAGCTCATGTAACGAAGAACTCTTACGTCCAACTTCATGTTTTGCGTAATAGTAAGAAAGATACTAGTTTTTTGATTTGGGTTGATCTTTAATCTGCATATTAAAAAAATTTTGTATATTGACGTCATCAATAATTGAAACGTACATTGGTTGCGTAAGCTATTATTGAAATCTCTCCTTTTGCTTCAACCTTGAAGACTAATTCGCCATGAGCTCCATTGGAACTGGGGTATGTTATGTAATTCAAATTTAAATTGGATTTGCTCTAATATCTATGCACATATTACATATACATATCTATCTTCCGTATATACTTTGATACTTATGTATCTCTTAATTTCTTCCAAAGTACGACTTGTCAGTATCCACATACTCGCCAGACGGTCGCGTCTTCCAAGTCGAATATGCCGCAAAAGCTGTAGATAATAGCGGGTATATATCATAATAATATTCGAGACTTGCTCGATAAAAGAAAATATTTTTCTTTTTTGCTCATGGTTTGTTATCTCTGATTATCTTGTAGGACCGTCATTGGCTTGCGTGTCGCCGAAGGTATTGTACTGGCTGTGGAGAAATTGGTGCAATCGAAGTTGTTGGTTCCCAAGTCGAATAGAAGTATCCAGACTGTTGATACACATATTGGTGTGGTATGGAGTGTTTGATTCGTATCATTTGCCGCGTTTATAGCGGAAAGTACTGGAAAGTGGTTGTGACTGGAAGGTATATTTCAATTACTAAGTGATTTGCGATTGAATGGTTTGCGCTTTGATATATTAAGGCTACGGCTGGCTTGTTAGCAGATGGTCGTCACATTGTTAATAGAGCTCGAGACGAAGCAGAGAATTATCGAGATATTTACAGGATACCTATTCCTGGAAAGGTAAAATGAATATTATTTATTTTGTATGGCGTTCGTTAAAGTTGAATGTCTTTCGACTGACTAAAACTTACAATGTAAACTTGATAAGATGATTGCTGATAGAGTAGGTCATTATGTACAAGCATACACTCTCTATTCGAGCGTTCGACCGTTTGGAGCGAGTGCGATAATTGGGACATTCGATCATGACGGTCCCCAATTATACATGATTGAGCCATCCGGTGTCTATTGGGTAAGCTACTAATTAACATGTTATATGGGTGGATCGCGAATCTTTAATGGATCGCAGACTAGTGCGCATTTATTTATATCAATGATATCGTTGTGACAGGGCTATCATGGCTGCGCAATTGGAAAGGGAAAACAGGTAGCGAAAACCGAGATCGAGAAGCTCAGTCTCGATGAGTTATCGGTTGTAGACGCAGTAAAACAAGCGGCGAGAATGTAGGTTTATTGGGGGGTGAAGTGCGTTGTTGTTTTTTTTTTTTCAGCTTAGCCCATTCCAACCGTCACTGTACACTCTCTTGTCGACTCTGTAACAGAATTTATGCAGTTCATGACGAGGCAAAAGACAAAGAATTCGAATTGGAGTTAAGCTGGGTGACTGCACAGAACAAACGACATGAATTTGTGCCTGCTGATCTTGCTGCTGAAGCAGAGAGATTAGCCAAGGTTAGTAGAAAGGCGTGGGGAGTCAAATGAATACTCTATACGATGTTAATTACTGAATTATTGAATTTTCTAGGAGTCTCTAAATGAAGAAATGGAAGATGATTAAGTGTTGGATGAGCAGACTTTCAATAAAATCAATATTTTATATAATAAAACTAGATATTACCATGATGTCAAATTAAAATTATTATATTTCAACGTGTGAACTGTGTGTTGCAAAAAGAGCAGATAACGTGTAATCACAGAGTTATGAGTTCAATATATAATAATAATAATAACGCCTAATTACTTTTGCAATTTCGTACTTCACTACGCGATTTCATCATGTCGCATTTGTATTGTCAAAATTTATGCAACTTTCGAGTCGACGACTATCGTACGGGATAAAAGGCGGACTAGAACACACTGTAACTTACGAAACACGCCACAACAAAAAGCACGTGCTTTACAAAACTTAGGTTATAAATATTGTGTATAGTAAAGAAATGTACATAATGGTTTACATGAAAAACTTGAGAATAGCAGTTATGTTATAGATTTAAATTGGGCCTGTTACAACAAAGAAGACGTTTTACATACTGTATGATGGATGATTTGTTAAAAAAAGTCTTTGGGAATGCGTCAATAGCTTTACCCAGTTTATTGTACTGTACATCAGCTATGAATAGCAGTTAGTAATAAAAAATATTACCTTTTCTGCCAAATTAGAGCTGCACTAAGACAGTGAAATTCTTTCGTGATGTCATGTTTTCGTAACCTTCAACAATGTCAATGTCTCTATTAGTTGTATTAGAAAATACTCAAATAACCATGGTATGGGTTGGATGTTGACAAATAAGTCAATCGAATCAGTTTTAGCAGTCACTGCCATGTTGCATATATACTTTCTTGCAATAGAGGCCACATATTAACAGGGATGTACTAATTGGTGAATTTCGCCTAATTTATAATACTAGCTAATAATGTTTATTAAATGCTAATGACTCATATATTAAATAAAATATTACGATCAGTATTAAACCTATTGTCTACAATTATTAAACAAATTCATTTACTAGAGCAGTGAAAACGTTATAAAAGAATTCGCTCGAATTTATCACCATTTCGTAATTAGTACTCTTACAACTAAGGATTGCTGTTAGGTTGTGCGCAATATTGTAGTTCTATTCTTGTGCTTAGAAGCTGAAACAAGCCGATAAGTCCTTACGGAAGTTAGGGAGTAACGTCGAGCTGTAAATTAAGCGTATCTGACCGAATAATTCGATTAACTATTATCACGCTTGGGATTGATAACGCATGAAAGATACAATGTATCGAGTCGTACAAAATTTGTAGCCAAATTAATAAACGCGATTATTATATAAGGAGCATAGCACAGATGCTTCTAGCGATAGTCCTGATGGAACAAGTTCCGAATCAAGTGACGATGGACTGACTCCCTAGAGCTGAGGTTGACATACGTATATCATCTATTTTCGTGTCCACATTCTTTTCCTTTTTTGATGAGGAACAAAATGGGCATACTGTAAGTCTGATGTTGTGTCCATTTTGTTCCCAATTTTTATTACCTAAATTAGATAATCCAACCCGGAACAGAAACAGGAACATGAAATGAAAAGGGCCGCACTTATCATCACCCAAAATTGGGAATTTAATTGTTACCGGAATGATAGTAATAGCCAAACAAATGTTGTCATTTAATTACGCTTCGAATGATGACCCATAATATGGTCATTATGTGATTGATTGTGCTTGCATCTTCATTTGTGTATGAATAGTTATTATTATTATGACGTTATATGTTAAACTAACCAGGAGAAAAAGCACGCATGTTGCAGAAGTTCCAAAGCCAAAAGTAATGGCAAATATTCTACATACAAGCAACCTTTATTATTTCATTTAAGCCAGCAGGCATAAAAATTGTCACATTAGTTACTGAATAATGACAATTTAAAATCTCTTTTTTTTTTATATAACTCTGTATCTGAACGTTAGTGCCAGTAACATGGTTTGATATCTTTCCCTGCTCTTTTAAATTTCAAATGCACTTATAACTGCTATTTTGAGTATTAATATTAAAGTGCTTGTACTCAAACTTGACCGAGATGTTCTCCAACCAGACTCTAACGCGGGTTTACTTGCATCGTAATCAATTAAAACATAGCATAATTGAGGCGGCTCTTTATACCTTCTATTACTAAAATGTAAACGCATGTTGTGCTAAGCTATGTAAATAGGGAAAGATTAAACTTATAACAGCTATTTTTTTTCCTGCCCGATCTGAACGTTTCAGCCTCATAAACAATAAACACTTCCGCTCAGAAGCAACAATGCACAAGAACAGAACGATTACTAACGGTAATGCCTGATCAAAGAGTATATTAGTTGAGAAGAGCTCTTATGATCATTCTTGGAACTTCAATCGATTCAATACCTGATTGTACGTTTATTTGCTATTTACGAACTATTAACAAGCCATTCATGAAAATATATAATGGATATCGTACGACAACAACAAAAGTAATTCGTGTTATGACATGATTGCGATACACATTAATTTGTGACAGGGTGCAAATGTTGCACTGACTACTGACATCCGTATTTAATCGACCATGTTGGATTTCAGTCTTGTCGTTGTCGACATCTAGCTCTACTAATATTAGAAACTTTGACCGCATCCAACATTTACTGTACGAAATCGTATACTATATACTGGGTGAAAGTTTAATAACACTGTTTCAACAATGAAAAAGTTTTTCACTATGTGTGGTACTGGTGCATTTATCCCTGGTTGTGCTAGAATGAAAAAAGGATATCAACGCAAAGCAGCTGAACAAGGAGATGCCAGTGCACAATTTAATCTTGCTGTATGTTATGAAGATGGAACTGGAGTAGAAAAAG